TCTGTGTCCCAGCGGGGAGGAGAGAAACTGTGATAGCCGGCTGAGCGCTGCAGGAGGGGAGCGCTGTGAGTGGCCGGTGTCTCTCCTCCCACACCACTCAGCCGCCTATCACAGTCTGGCAGAGCGGTGTGGGGGCGGAGACAGCCCGCGCTGTCACAGGAGGCTGAGCTCTCCTCCCTGCTCTGCTCGCTCAGCCTCCTGTGACAGCGTGTCAGAGAGGAGAGCGAGATACAAACACTCAGTGATCGCTGACTGTTTGTAAATAGTTGATGACATGGTATGTTTATTATATGGTCAATTATGAATGAATGGGAAGAGATCTACATCACCTCCATCACCGTTCATTCATGATTGTGGTTATAGTAAACATACTATGTTCTCATGTTATCAATGAACAGGAAAACTCAGTATAGAGGATTCCTGTTCATTAATAACAGGGGATACAGAAAAAGAGATTGACGACTTTGTGCTCTCAATCTCTTTCTCTATTTTAAAAAGGAAATATATGAGGTGTCTGTTTAGACCCCCAATATTTCCCCAAAGCCCCTAAAAGTAAAGTAAAAAATAAAAATATTTAATAAAAAATGAATTCATTTTTTTATTTCGGTTTCGTTTCGGTTTTTACATTTCTATTTAGGTGCACCTCTAATTAAATATATACTTTTTTGTTTATGGTTTTATTTTGCTTTTAGGGGTATGTTTATAAATCAGGGAATCTGGCATTCACCAAACATTTACTGCAGGTTCATATTCTGGGTTAATATGTTTTAAATGACAGTGATTGATTCACCACATGTGAATGTTTAGTGAAAGTCACATTTAATGGTTTATATACATATGCCCCTCAGCGTTTTGTCTGTTTTGCTGATTTTACTAATAAATGAACCCCATTATGTTTTACTTTTGCTGTGAATAACATAAAATAGAAGTTGCATTTTATAATTTATTATCTTCTTGTTTTTTCTCCCGCACTGTGATATTAATATATAAAGAAAATACTCTATTACTGTGCAATAACATTGTAGCTCGTAAAGTTTTATAGTTTGTGAGAGCAGACTTAAAACTTAAAAGGGTATCCAAACACTTACCTCTGACCCAGAGATGTCTCTTCGGTCTGACAGAACAGCTCATTCATTTTTCCAGTCCTAATGCTGAGGCCAAGTTACCTAAACTGGCAGGCAGATGAACTGATTGGCTGTTTGGATAAAAGCAGCTAATCATGACTTTGCCCCTCGCTTTTCTGATCCCTTAGCTGCAGCATTAGGATGGACTTAGCTGGCCTGTTCAATAGATTGCTCTGGGTGACAGGTAAATGGGTGCTTTTTTTATGTTTTAGCTACAGTAGGTCAAGTTACAGTAGGGTAGACGCAAAAATAGTTTTCTGACTTTAGGTCTACTTCAAAATTACTCTTTTACTTTAACAAAGAAAGCCCTGCTGACAGGTATAAAGACCAGTCACTCTGTGATGCCCACACATGCCTGAAGCAGGTTTCAGTGATACCTGCTCTGCCCAATTGCCAAGCCATTCTGATCAGGCAAAGCTTTAACACTTCACAGTAGTGTCCGAGCTTGATTCCTCCTGCCCCCACCCACATGAGCATCTCTAGCAGGGGGCATACCGGTCATGTGCCACATATCCCTTGTTGGGTACCCCAGATCTCAAGGCTGCGACTGACCACAATTATTTTCTTAATTTAGCCACTGCAGCAGTGCCAGTACCACTTTTACTACAGCTACCAGCTTCTTTCCTGGGTATCTCTCAGACTTCACATCAGAGTGGCGGTGGCTCAGAGCTGAGGGTACTGCAAGGCTCCTCCTGGCCTCTGGTGTGTCATATGATAAAGCAGAGGGGAACCTGGGAGAACCTCCTTCCTCTCTACTGGGTGATCGTGTTGAGGGTAAGACCCTGATTAGTACATTTCTAGGAGGAAGGGGCCATTAGTGGTTAGAGTTAATTTTGCCCTGGGTGAGATTTGAACTGGGGTAGGTGGATACATTTTTGCTAGGGGTTGGAATTTTGCTTGGGGGCAATTTTTGTCGGGGAGGGGGGTTTGCTTTGGGAAAAAAGATGAGGGGAGGT